TCAAATCAAACATTAGCATACACAGAAAAAATTTATGAATGATGAAAGGGGAACTCATGTCATACATGATAATGTTGAATCTCAAAAAATCTATTTTCTAATTAATTGTTTCCTGATAATGTTGAATCTCAAAAAATCTATTTTCTAATTAATCGTTTCCTAGCACAATATCAGGTCTATGACGTGACACCATTTCTGGAAGAGCACCCGGGAGGAGACGATGTCCTTTTAACATCAACAGGTAATAGCATCAAACTCGATCGGTTTCATATTTTCTTCACGTTCTTTTATCCAACTCTATACATTTCATTTCACCACAAGTCCCAAAAGGAGTACCAATTGAAGTCAAAAATTAATGCAGGGAAGGACGCAACTGTCGACTTTGAAGACGTGGGGCACAGTGATGATGCGCAAGAGAAAATGAAGGAATTCCTTATCGGCCATATTGACGAGTCTACTCTGCCCGAAACCAAACAGGCCTTCCACATCACCAGCACTACTGCAGGTGCAGCCACGGTGAATCAGGGCTCTGGTGGAGACTCGTCCAAGGTTCTGCTCTATGTCCTGCCCCTCTTGATACTCGGTGTTGCATTCCTTTTGCGTTTTTACTCTCAAAAGGAGTGAATGAAAAAGAAAAAAAAGGAAAAAGAAAAAGGGTTGTTTGGAGGAAAACCAAAACAAACTGAGGATTATGTATCGATTATTGAATTAGGATGTCTGTATTGATGCATATTGTCTGTTGGTACAACTAATAATTGGAACTCTATAGTCTCTACCAATAGATTAGATGGCTCTTGTTGTATCCCTTGTTTGCCAAACGTTAATTGTGATGCGGTTGCTCTTTTCGATTCTGTGTGTACCTTTGTGCATGACGGCGTGTTTAAGCTCGCCCCTTGAAACGTTATTGCGATGTTATGTGAATCTTGATGGATTAAACTGTGTCCAGAGCAAAAGGAATGAAAATGTAGTGACAAGTTAGATTATAATTGGTATGCTAGACAGAAAAATTAGGGACTTTATGACATGATGTGATTGAATTTATTGGTTAAAATGTGTTAATTCTAAGTGGATTCATCTATTTTATTATTTTTTACTATTATAAAATGATGAATGATTTTGTAAAAAATTGTACGGACTAAACCGTTCTTGTGATTATATTATTTTTCAATGGAAAATTTGTAATAACTATTAAATATCTCAATGTATTATAATCATAATTAAATATTTCAATAAAATAGGATACTAACAAAAACAAAACTCTCTCAAAAACAAAACAAATAAAATATTAACTTATCAATAAAGAAAAAATTAATAAAGTAGATGCAAACTATTTCAAACAGATTGAATTGTGTTAAAATATATTTCGAATTATTATGTGAACCAATGAAAAAGTATGGAAGTAGTATCATCAATTTAACAACAGACAATGTTAAGTAAAAGTATTATAATATAAATTTGTTACAATTCTCAATCTATATTATTTTCATATTACTAATGATATAACTACATGTCATAATAAACAAAGTTGATATAACATAATTATATAAAATTTACAAGAGACAAATAACATGGTACATAAAACCAATTAAATGTCTTTTTCGAAAATATAGAGTATCAAATAGGACATACTGAGAAAACAAATTAAAGAAAAACACATTATATAACATGAAAGTAATTTTCACATGAATTTATCGACATAATAATAATTATTAAAATAAAAAAATTCATATTATTATTATCTTATTTTAATTATTATTGTTCATAACTAGATTTAATTGCTAGAATTAAAATATTTGAACACAATAAAAAATTGATTTGAGCAAATATCGAATTTTATGTTTATTAAATATGAATCTATAACTTATGTACGACATAATTTAGTTAAAAAGTGTCTGTCGTTAAAGTAAAATTTAACAACTATTTTAAATAATATCTTATCAAAATAATAAGTTTTTAAAAAACAACAAATACTTATAAAATCCGAAATATATGATAAAAGCTACTCTATAATAGAACAATGAATAACATTTAAAAAAATCAAATGCGAAGACATATTGTCAAAGAGATGAATATTGATTGCTTAAGATATCTTTTATATTTGATATATTTATAATAGAAAAACTATAATTACAATGATTAGTAAAAGATATAAAAATATAATTTATAGTAAAATTATAAGTATGAATAACAACAAATAAAATCCAATTAACTAAAAGTAATTAAACGTAATTTTCAAATAAATTATAAAATATTTCAACTTTGAAAATGGGTCTTTTTCTTAACTACAAAATATTATATTTGACATGTTTCTATCATGATGAATTATATAGAATATATTGATATACTTTTACGGAGTTAATATAAGTAGATACAATATGTTTCAATGTAAAATAAATAATGCATAAATAGCTTACATTCTATAGAATATTATTACTAATTCATTTGATTTTTTAAATCATTCATGAAACGAATACATGATTACACATAAAATGAACATTTAGAATTTTGATGTATAAAAATATATAAATATAAAATTAAAATTAGTATCTAATAACTATTTTTACATACTTCGTGATTTATAATATTTTATTGGTTAGTTTTTATATAATTTTTTTAAAGTTTCAAAATTTCATGATTCTCAATAATGGGTTTTGATATATTAATAATTAGATTATTATTTATAAAATTGTTATAATACACAGTATCAATAGTGATGTGAGATGTTATACTAAAGGAATAAATTGACTCAATAGGTTGGTCGAACAAACCTGAATATGAAGGAGACCACACCGGTCGAAACAGTATCGAGCAAAGCAGTCAGAACCGAATATCACAAAGGACAAGATGGTGAAGATTCCGATATGAGGAGTACCTATCGGATTCGAGTCTAGGAAATATCTAGTCGATCGTCGATGGGATCGAGTAAGGAGTCGTCTAATTGGCCGCCCTACAGATTGAGGACAACCTGATGGTCGATCACACTGCGAATTGAAGATTACTTAAGAGATTAACTCGGATAAGGTCAAACGTGAGAGCTTCTAACGGAATGTCAGTAGGATGTCAGTGGGATTATAAAGAATTATTTACCCCATGTGAAGAGGACACGTGGCGTAAGAAGATTGGTGCAGAAAATAGTTGCAACGACCACCTCTAACACACGCACACTGCGTGTGTACGGACGGGCAGCCTTGGGCAGACAACTCACCAAATTCAGGCAGCCTTTAGGTCAGGTATCTCACCCCTATATATATGAGGGTGAGCTTTTCTTGTTGAATACGATTAATCCATTTTTACCTCTAAGAATTAATTGAAACAAACACTGATTTCAGCTTTGGAGGATCTTCATCGGAGAATCCCTCCTGTGTGAGAGTTCTTTGTAGGTAAGCGACGTTCAACCGATGAGAAGTAAAGGAGGTGGATCTATTTCTATCCGGTCGGAGAGTTTTGCGTTACCATTTGGCGAGGTCTGTGGGACTTTTGTTCGAAAAGAAGTGTGCTGAGGCTGTTTGATCTTGGTGGTTATGGAAAAATTCCGAGAATCAATTTGCAATCGTCGTTCGATGAGGCTTAGACGACGTCGAGGTCATTTGGAGCAAGCCCTCCCTCGGATTTCTCTGGACCTTTGCAGACGTCGGTGACCCTAACACATACTCCTCATGAGAGCCATCAACGATCCCTGTAGCAGATGCAGGCCCGAGTCAGGATCTGAAGGCGCGGTTGTCCCAGGTGATGACGACCCCAACAGTGGTGCCCTCAAATCTCGCTGAGGTCCAACAGTTAGGAGCCGTGGTGCAGGTGGTGGTGTCGCCTAGGGAGGAGCAACAACCTGGTCAACAGATAGTGAGGATGACTAGGCAGGAGATGGAGCAGATGATTGCCAATGCGGCAGCCCAAGCGGTGCAACAGGTGACAAACCAAACTTCTTGAGTTGTGACTGCACCAACGACCGTGGTGGGTGACCATTATACCACGGAGGAGGACGTCTCAAGCTATGGAGGAGATGGGGTAGGGCGAGACCGAGAGATGAAGAGAATGGCAGAGCAACTGCGCCAGTTTTAGGCCAAGGTGGATGGTCAAATGGAGAAGCGTGCTCGGGGGCATCGTTCTCGAGGAAGATATTGACCGCCCTTTTGCCAGTAAATTTCAAGGAGACAAATCTGGTGTTCGATCGATCATCTGACCCGTCGAGGTATACGGGGACATTCGAGAATATGGTTGTTTTACACGGGTACTAGGACTTGGGTAAGTTGCAGGGCATTCTTATCGACTTTAAGGGGGTCCCTCGATTGGTTCCATCAGCTCCCTCCAGGGTAGATCAAGCATTTGGAGGACTTTACCG